ACTCTCTCTACTAAAGCAATAGCAACCGGTATAACCAAAGGAAACATAATTAGCAAATACACATGATTATATACTAAGTTCCTCCCCATCTCCACCATTTTTTTTGCAAGACTACCTGATGGGTCGATTTTATACTATATTTTATTCCCTATTCTTGGTATATTTTGGTTATTATTTTGGTGAGATTTTGATGTTTTGCTATGTGTTTTTAATGTAGAACATGTGAACTTGTTTTGAGCATAAAGTAATCAAACGGTGGAATTTTTGAGTGATTCCAATTGGAGCGGGTTCATGAATCTATCAAGAAGGTTGTATCAAAATTTCATAGTTTCATCTCGAAGCATCTGATCATGGCGAATTAATTTATGTCTGGCGTGCAGTGCTGGCAGATTGGGCTGCAAAGCTTATTTGCGACTTTTGGGCTGGAAGATGATGGATTTTGGACTTGGGGCTCTTCTTAGAACTTGAAGAGGAGGTCCTAATCGTTAATTTGAATCATTTTGGGCCTGTTTTGGAGCCCTGAAGATCTAGAAATGTGGTTATTTCTCTGCTGGGCAGATTTCCTAGTCATAATAGAAATGTAATTTCTAGTTATTATTTTGTTATTTTATTTCCTAGTTTTAGAAAACCATTTCTATGAGGGTTTTAATTTGGAGTAGTATAAATAAGGCTTTTTAGCCATTAGGGTTTTGGTGGGAGAACGCATGCATTATTTTGGAGAACTTCAGACTTTTTACCTACAAGGTGTTTTCAATCATTTTTCTAGTTAATATATTTTCTTTAGTTTTTATAGTTGTTCGTAACTAATTTCCGTTTGCTAGGGCGAAGCCATGAGCCTTAGCATGAATATGTGATTTTATTAATTTGCTTATGAATAGATGCATGCTTGCTTTGAATTATTAATCATCGTGATTAAACTATCTAATTGTGTTAGTGATTTGCGACCATTGGGGTTTTTAGATAAGTAATTTGATGCAATTTCTGTTGGAACTTCAGACTTTTTACCTACAAGGTGTTTTCAATCCTTCTTCTAGTTAATATATTTTCTTTAGTTTTTATAGTTGTTCGTAACTAATTTCCGTTTGCTAGGGCGAAGCCATGAGCCTTAGCATGAATATGTGATTTTATTAATTTGCTTATGAATAGATGCATGCTTGCTTTGAATTATTAATCATCGTGATTAAACTATCTAATTGTGTTAGTGATTTACGACCATTAGGGTTTTTAGACAACTAATTTGATGCAATTTCTGTTGGAACATTACCCTGAAATTGGAGAGGGCTTCTAGTGATTAGTAATTGTAAATTCACTTAAGGATCACGCTCTTAAGGGTTGCGTGGTTTTTCAAAGGGTTTCACAAAACTTAATGAGTCTTGCATATTTATATTTGATCTGAACATCACAGACGGGTTGCATGTTAAATATATGTTTTTGCTTGAACATCACGAGGAAAATATGCATTAGAAAAACCTAACCTTCAAACCATGTATGCAGAAATTCATAAGTAATTGGTAAAATTGCATAGGATTGTTAAGGGGACGGTGGAACCCAAGGCTTTTATAATTTGGTTTTCAAAACGTTTTCTTTTGTTTTCTTTACTTTGCTAATTCTTTAACCTTTTTAATTAAATTCTTTTTTATTATTTTTAAATTCAAAATCGACCTTTTCCAATCTTTGCTTCAAATAATTAATTAAGATTTGGTATCTACATAAATTATTCATTCAATCATTGTGGAAAACGACCTTACTTGAGTTGCTATACTACGATAACCTTGTACTCTTGCAAATATTTTTAAGTTTTTTTATCCCTACTTTTGCACGTGGTAAAAGCCCTATCACTACCAATTCCTTTCAATTGAGAAAATTCACTACTTGAACACATAGCAAGAATATAATGCCCAAGTTGATATTTTTATAAAAAATAATAAGTATGACAACTCTTCTTTAAGACATTTTATCAAGCAAGAATATAATTAAAAGGATATAATTAAAATAATAAGAATGAGAACTCTTCTTTAAGACATTTTATCAAGCAGTTGGAGATCATATATGTAGGACAACTACAACCTTCAAATGAATAGCATCCAAATCATATATGAAGATTCACCAAATAGGATCAGCTGATCCCTTCCCCTGCATCAGCCAGTGGTCACAATCCACCTAAATAACATATTCATAAGCATTGAAAACTCATGTCTCTGTATAAAAAACAAGGTTCTAAAAAACGCTAGGCACTAGTCAGGGGACGGGCTGGTGCCTAGCGCCTAGGCAGAGTCTAGGCGCATGCCTAGGTGGCCCAGGCGGATTTAGGTAAATTTCTTGTATATCTTGTAAGTAAGTGCATATTGACACTTACAAAAAAGTATACTTGTATGAAATTCATGAATACAATAATAAATAAATAAAATGATAAAATGCAAAATTAGTATCCAAAGTTCAAAATTTAAAAACACACATATATGCCATATTAGTTAAGATATTTTGAATGATTATATCTAATTGTCATAAAAATAAAAATATGTGAAAAGGTGCATGCATCCTCCCAAATTTCCAAAAACACCACTTGTGTGGTGTGACCCTTATCCTTCACCCCTAGTCCCCATCCCTTACATCAGTCAATAGACTCCTTTATTGATGCCTTGAAAATTAAAAATGTTTATTCATTTTTATTCGTTCCTTTTTCTCATCGTCTTTGTCTTCTTTGCTTTCCACTTCTTCTTCTTTCTTTTTCTTTTCGTTTTGCTTCTGTACATTCTTCCTTTTTTTCTTGTTTCCTCTTCTTCTGTTTTGCGCTGTAAGTTCCTCTTCTTCGATGGATTTCAGAGATAGGGAGCAACAACTAAGAAAGTTGTGGTGCACAGAGAGAAGGAGTCGAAACGATGGAATTTCTTCCTAGGAAACCTCCACTCTGCCTAGACCGCCACCTAGACAGCTGCCTAGATCGCCCAGGACGCCTAAGAGCGCCTACCTAATTGCACCGGCACTACCACGCCCAGTATCTAGGCGGCCACCTAGACCCTTTTTTAGAACACTGATAAAAAGGCTTGACGCCCATAAGCACGATAATTAAAGCAATTTGTTCTTTTTGACCAAAAAAAAAAAAAAACAAAAAAAAAAAGGGAAGTTGTTCTCTTTCTGTGACTGGCATATGATCCCATTAATCTTACAAGTTGCAAGTCAACGAAGTGACCATATACTTTTCACGACCAAGTCGAGGGCTGAAGTTCTCGCGTATAAAAGTTGATGAATTGCCAGGTCTGATCATATATCGTTAAGCACATAAAAATACATTTTCGTAGATCACAATACATTATACTACTTGTCTGAAAAAGAAATAAGGGTCACCAATACAAATAGAACTCACCTCTATTTAAAAGACAGTTTAACATGGTCTACTGAACAAACTTAAAAAAATATATATATTTTCCAACTAAACTAAAATACAACGTTCATGTCAAATGGGGATTAGTTATGGGACTCACGGCACATCGAACTTCAACGATTCGAACCGTTTATTTTTCAAGTTGGACCTCGTAGATCATTTTTGCAAAATATAAGCCAAGTTGAAAATATTTGAGACATCTACTTGAGTTCAAAGAAATTGACGAACAATTTGTTTTACAAGAAACAATGAAATTGCATCATGTGGTTTTCAGATTAAATTGAATTTTTGCAAAAATGATCTATGAATTGAGACTTACAAAATAGAATGTTTGGATCATCGAAGTTTAATGTGAAACGGGCCTTACAACTAGCCCTTTTTTTAATCCAAAAATGATGATCCCTTTGAACAAAGAGCATGTATCTATTAAACTATTGAGTGATTTTATTTTCATTGAAACTACTTTTAAAAATTGACACTCTTCAAATAACTTTGGATAATACTTAGATACTCACTAGTGTATACTTTGTATACTTGCATTTTAGATTTGGCCGAATATTATTTTAGCACATGTTTTATTGTTTTAAATAATAGTACATATGTTGTTTAATTTTCCTTGGACTTTTTAAAAACAAAAGATTGTATCATCCTTTTTTTTTTTTTAATCAAACAATAGATTTTGTTATATTAGTTGTTAGAGTAGCTATTGACGGGGTTTAAACCCATGTCATTATGTAAGGGCTCAATACTTTTCTACCATTGTGGTAAAGGGTTACTTGCGTTTCATCTTTTGATTTGCCAAATTAGAAAATGAGTATATATAGAGAGATTTTTTAGTGTGACCGAAATACGGGATTGTATATCATGTGCCACCATATAAATAGTAGGATATGTATGCTAAAATGTTAATAACTTAAAAAATAAAACATTTCACTACTTATATAAAAACATGTGATATACTATTCGTGTTCCGATCATAATACTAGTGCATGATTACACTGACCAACCACCACTTAAAAGTTAGCAGTTACGCGTGCCCTACCATAATCTAGCTGGTGATTGTACACATCCTTTTTAATCAAACAATAATGATGGAGGATGGTTTTACACACTTTAATCATGATAATAGAAGAAGGATGAGGCGGCATTAAATATTATAACTACACTCCTCATCTAAATAATATTATCAATTGTTATACATATTTGAGATTCACCCTAAATTATCTTCTTATTTTTAATTTATAATGATATTTTTATACTCGATAAAATTTATAGATAATTTTTTTTTTATAAATTAATGTCATGAAATTTAATGGTTGAATTATAATTTAAAAGTTGATGAACATGTTCATTCCCATTAGTAACACATCATTTAATTTGTAATTTTGTCTACAAATTTAGATTTCCTAACATTACTTTTTATACTCACGGTAAGTGAAGAATACCGACAGCTAGAACGTAGTAATAAGTGTTGGACCCTTTTTGTTAAAAAAAAAAAATTGACATATGGATTATGGAGTGCTAAAGTGAGTGGGCAAACTTGAAAATTCAGGAAAACCCCATTCAAATTTTTTTTGAATGCCTAAAGATGCATAATTGATGTCAAATACAACCAAAATTTGAACTGTACAAATTGCAAGTGCTTATTATATAATTCAAGGAACATTACACATATCAAGAGAAAGCTCCCTCCAAAATTCTAAAGCTTATTATTAAGCCATTTTCTTGTGCTAATAAAATCCTGAATTAGAAAACCTTCTTCTACGACACACCTACATATATACACTGCCACATGCAATTTTCAAATAATTAACATTTAATTAATTGTGGCCAAACTAATTAATCCCAACTACAACATGAAATTCATGAACTTCAGCCACGCAAACCCATTCCTTGAAACTTTCTCCGCCTCTTTTGAACATGACGCGGACGACGCCGTCACTCCACCGCCACCGCAACCGCCCACGGCTTTTGCGTTAGGGCACAGAAAAAAGTTCCTGGATCCCAACTCCATCAGCTTCTCCTCCCTATCCAAACCTGGCCCCACAGATAATTACCACAATCAATACGCGCCGGACACGTGTCAATCAATCGCATACGAAATTAAATCGGGGACGTTGATTTTATAAGGCGAAAAGACAATAAACGCTTACTTTCTAAGCTGAACTGCGAGTAATGGAGGTCGAACAACGACGGCTCGACGGAAGGCAAGATCGGACGGCGACCTTCCTTCCCGTATTGCCGCACGGCCGCCGCGACCAGATCTCCTACCGTCAGTTCCGGCGACATCACGACCTGTATGGCCCCGACGCTCCCCTGGATCGTAACGTTGAGGAGCAGCTTCGTCAGCTTTGGCCGTAAATCCATCGACGACGCCATCGTTCCCACCGCGTTCCTGAACGACGCCATGTCCGGCACCGTTTTCGGCCTCCGAAGCTGCTGCGTCGCCACCTCGGGAAACTGGCCGTGGAACGACGATGATCTGTCGGAGAGCGGTCTCGGCCTGCGGTTCTTCTCTTCCGGCTGCCCCCTCCGGCTAGAACTCTTCGGGCTGGGCATGCTCCGTAAAAAAATAATGTAATATCTATAGGACAACAACGGAAATAACTACTTTTGTGGCGTTTCGTTTTCGAGCGGGTGGAGCAGTTACCGATTACCTCAAGCGTCGGTATCGGAAATACCTGGGGCGAGGGAAGCCGAGAGCAGGGGAAGAGCTTCGGCTCCCAAATTTCCGGTAGCCGACAGCGATCATAACCTGATTGGTATAACTGTAATAACCAGAATCCGACGACGGCAAAAGGGAAAATACAATAGAATTGGGGAGAGAGCTTTAAATCAGCCCCCGCCCACGTCTGTATTTATACCCACGACAAGATAAGGGGTAGCCTAGAAATTAACACGACTTTTCCAAGAGTGGTGACCGGGTACTGGCTATTTCCGGTTAAATAGAGGGAGGGACGCGGAAGGGTTTTTTCCTATTAGTATTTCAGGATTTCAATCGTATTGTGACGTAATTTATCTAAATTATTGAAGATATCTAGTGGATGGCCGCTTTTTTCGATTGTACTTTTTTGGCACGTGTTTACATAGAAGTAAATTTTTTTGGTAGATGCTATTAGTAGTTCATGATTTCATTTTAATAATTTTTATGTTTGGGATGGTGTCAAAAAGATCAATCTATCGTAACTTATTATGATTGTGGTCATTTTATTAAATACTTTCCCTTGTTGTATATATAAAAAAAAATGTTTACACTTTAGTTAATTTTTTCATTAACGTAATTTTGGTGTTTTATGTAGTAAATATTTTATACTATAATTATGTTTTTTTTTCTATTTGTTATTTGGGTTGAAGATTATTTTACTGGTTGATTGAATATTTGATTTTTATTTCTTGAACTGGATATTAGATTTTTATTATGGGACATTTTGTATATAATTATTATTTTTTAAATGAGAAAACTAATGGCAAGCCACGATTATCCACCCATTCCGAAGGTCGAGAAGACTGACAAAGACATTTTAGCCTCTCCCTAACCACAAGTTTAGCTTCCATACCAGCGGTGGATTTCAAACCCGAGTTTGTATATAATTATTTAAAACAATAAAATATGTACTAACATATTATTGGACGAAGCAATTAGCTCTACCACAATGGTAGAGAAAAGTGGCTCTTGCACATTGGCGTGGGTCCGAATTCCATTTCTCTAATTTAACATCTAATTTAACAAATCAATTGTTTGACAAAAAAAACAATATTATTGGACTAAATGACAATGTTAGTATTGGCATGTTGTTTGGACCCAAAATTACACAATCGGCCCCAACGATCGAGGTCGTTGAGTGAGTGAAGTTTTAACTGTTAGATGGCTTAGTCGGGATAATTTTTAGTTATTATTAAGGAATAATATTGTAATTTTTTTGGTCATGATAATATCCCTTAATAATATATTAAATTATTTAGACTTGGTTTTGTCTTAAAATCTAGCTGGTTTGATTTGTAGTCCAAGGCGTAACAGATTTTCTTCCATGCGTGATGCATATGCATGCGGGTGAGAGACTTTCCATGCAATTCGTGCATGTGTGGAGTGATCAGCACAAAGACACTTAAAAGGGATTAGCATGTTCTGCATGGATGAGAATGGATGAACTTGGAACTTGACCAAGCAAAGAGTTGGTGATGATTATCATCGAAAAGTGATAATCATGGTGCCATCTGAAGGGAAGTATAGTTCGAAATGGACATGGTCTCTTTTAGGGCATACAAAAGATAAGAATTGAGAATAATTAAATGATGATATCTCCAGTGATATTGCAATTAAATTGCAATTTACCTTGCATGCATATGGACATACATGGTGGAAGAAGAAAGTTTGTAGTTGCATTGGTAGTCTTTGACTTTGAGTGACGGCTTTGGATTGGATAAGGCAAGGCTTCTGATGGGATTAGTATGCAGAGTCCTCACATGGTCTCTAATAGCACAAATTAATCGCCACTTATCATTCAAGCATGCATGTGGTCTCGATCTCGCAAACAAATTCAGGAGGATGGCAATCTGTGAGGTTATTAAAGATAATATTCTGAGGAATATTATTTTGATTGCTTTGATGCCGCGGCAGATAATCTTCAGCATGGCTAGCAAGCAAATAGTACTATAAATACATGAGGTTGTGCAACGTCGAAGCCCCCTCCAATTCAACACACAAAATGCCCTGCACAAACCTTCGCTTCACACGAAATCTCTCAAACACTTTGAGATTTTTATTTTCTTTTTCGCCAACACATCTTCAGTTTGGATAAACAGCACTGTGAGGGCAACCGGCGAACATCTTCAGTTTGGATGAACATCACTGCTATCGTAGAATCAGCTAACCGCAGAGCACCTTCAATTTGGATAAATAGCACTACGTCGAGGCCGACTGGTTATCTATCCAAGTCTCGGTCGAGAAGGATTTTCGAATCCTTATTGGTAGAGGTCATCTCATTAGCCTTATCAGCGAAGTGAGGTGTTACAAGTTACTAAATTCGGCACATTGAAAGCCGAATTTGATATTGAACTTCGCAAAACTAGCAGTCTTGTCTTCAGGTTCTAGAACCCGAAGGCCCAGACATGTTTCTTCCTCGGCTGCAGTCACGAGATCAAGAAGTCAATAGCATATCCAACTCGACATCAACACATTTTACTCCCTGCCCGAGCTCGCCCGACGAGTTGGCACACCCCGCATACAACCAAAGGACGTAGTTAGTTTATCAATTACTTAACCTACGTGCCATATAGATTTGGTAATTTTTAGGATCAACACATGTTTACATAATTGAGTTATTTGTTACATGCGTATGTAATTCTCAAGTTAACAGTCAACCGGTCAAGCTGCGTGCGGGTGTGGGTTTGGGTTACGGGTTTTAACTGTCTAGTGGTAAGATCTGTCGTCGCAACGAGCCACGCGGATGGATGATCGTGGTGCGACCACCGGCGATGGTGAGAGGTCAGCTAATAATTGCTCAGTCAGAGAAGGCGGCTATGCTGTTTGCGATATGTGCCCAGTTTGTCACGTGCTTAGCACGTGGAGGTGAGCGAGGATAGGGTTACGGTGGTCACGCGTGAAAAGTAAATGGCTTCCTGGAGTGGGGCTAGTGGTTTGAGGAAGCATCAGTAGGCATGCATGATGGCAGAGGACAGGGCCCCTCGAGACTCTAGCCTCTAGGGAATTGAAGCGTGTGTAGACTTCCACCGTCAACGTGGCAAAATAGGAGTGGACTATAGGGCTGGCGGCACGTGCGCATGTCACGTGGCACGAAGGGGTCATGCGGAAAACGGCATTTGAGGTGATGGTGCAATTATGCGTTTTGTCACATACGAGTTAATCGCAAACAATTGGTGCAAGTACCTCTCAAGCATTACATCAAGTAAAGTAAACGATGAACAATTCCCCAACTTTAAAGAAATATCAACGAAAATTCAAGTTAGTATCCTTTTTTTCTTCATTTTTCACAAGAAGATGTTTTATTACGAGAAAATAGTCCTATTGCGTTTAAGGGCGCTCATACGCTTCCGGTCAAAATAAGATAGTGTGCTTTATTACAAATAAATGAAAGTTAAAAGAAGGTACAGAAAGAAATCAACCGTCGGGAAGATTAATATAATAATGAAAAAATAAAATGACTCATGTATAAATTGCCTCTATATTACACCATAAATAGAGTAGTTTAATTTTATAATCAAATGATTAATTAGGGGTGGGTTCAAAAAATCAAAAACCGAAAAAAAAGGGACTGAACATCAAATCGAAACCCAAAAAAAAAAAAAAGGGAACTGAAAAAGAAAAAAATCAAACCGAACCTTATTGATTCGATTTCAGTTTTGGAGTTTCAGAAACCGAACTGAACCGAATCAAACCGAACCGAATCCCTTTACGCTTTATAAATGTATGTCCATAATAGCTCAAGAATATGGTAGAATAATAGCTCATAAGCGTCATGAAATAACGGTCTACGAAAGTCAATAACCTCGTCTCTAGGGGTACTTTCGTCAATTCACTCTTTTAAAATTAATAAACACGTAAAATTAGAGACAGGTTGTTACAAAACCAAACCGAAATAAAATTGAACCGAACCGAAGTTTTAGTTCGATTTCAATTTTGACAAAAAACCAAACCGAGCCCACCCATATGATTAAAGATATTTGCAAATGGTGAATTGTTCTGATAATCATTAGGATATTTTCCTTGATCAACTGTCGGATTTGAACCATCTTCTTTTTTCTAGTATAGTCTAGCTGAAATATTGCTTTCACAAAAAAAAGATATTTATGCAAGTTAAGATGTCAATATTGGATAGACTTTCTTTTCTTTTCTTTTCTTTTTTTTTTTTTTTTTTTTGTCAAATTGATAATCAAGTTTTTTCTTTTTTTTTTAGTACATCGATAATCAAATATATGTCTAAGAGAAAAAGAAAAAAAGGAAGAAACCATTTAAGCGAATTAGTATAAACTTTGCATCCCTATAATAAGGGAGGATTTTAAGCTCTCCATTATAACTATGGTGTTTGCTCACCATACATCTAAACATCAGTCGCATGTCTTTTCACCTAATTCTAGTTCACTTTCACATTAAATATTACTTTTTCAATTTGAAAAAAAAAAATCAAAATTAAGTGAAATAACATGTGATAAATGATTAGATATACGATCAACATACATCATAATTTATGATGGTAAGCTAACATGCCCTCCTACAATAAGGTGAGAGGGGGGCAATAGGATGCTTCCAAGCAATATACAAGTTACGAGAATATTCCCACCATACATTGGATGCATTATTAATGGACATAACACATTTAGCAGGGGACAAGTTTTATTTGGACCACAGATTTTAAGATTATACAAAAGTAGTTTGGAGTGGTGGGCAAATAATTTAGGTTAAAATAATTGTGATATTTTTGGCACTTGAACTTAAAATATATAGTGCTGCTTAGGGATGAGCAACGGTTATGACAGACGAGTAATTGCAGTTATTTATCCATAACTGTTTATGCTTGTACCCACATAACAGTTTACCTGTTAAATAATTGCCTAAATGGTTATACCCATACCCATAACCATTTATAAACAGTTAACCATAATAATAACCGTGTACTCATTTAACCGTAACCGTTTAATACTCATTTACCCATTTACCCTTTTTAATCCATTTATCCTTTTTTTCCCATTATCCCTTTTTCACCCGTCTATATGTTTTTTAACAACTTGAAAATTAAAAAAAAAAAATTTGTCATAATTTTATTTTTTAACAATTAAACACCGTTATAGTTGACACACCCCGTCCCGAAGGAGGGCATGCTGGCCGTCACGTGAGAGTGACGTAACCATTTACACAGTACGGAAGCTTTAAAGATACAATTTCTAAGATGAAACACCCAAAGGTGAGACCTAATTTTTGGCCATTCTGTCAGAACACCGTTGAATTTCCTCGTAGTCACCACACCTTTTCAATTCTTGAACCTGGAGGGGCGCAAAGCAAAGTTGAGTGGGTCAGCAAAACAAACTTATTCAAAACCTTCTTTTCTCTTTGAATATACTAACCCCTCGCCGTAAAACAAATATAGTTTCCCAGAAAATAAACATATATACGTATGTATAAATATGCCAATCATGCTCTTATAGTATGCCATTCATGCTCAAGAATATGCCATTCATGTTCTATAATATGCCATTTATGCTCGAGAATATGCCACAACAGAATCTCATAATCAAATATAAATGCTCAAGCGTAATTCACATCAATAGAGCTCCACGCTCAAATAGAGCTCCACGCTCAATAAATGCTCAAGCATAATTCACATCAATAGAGCTCCACGCTCAAATAGAGCTCCACGCTCAAATAGAGCTCCACGCTCAATAAATGCTCAAGCATAATTCACATCAATAGAGCTCCACGCTCAAATAGAGCTCCACGCTCAAATAGAGCTCCACGCTCAATAAATGCTCAAGCATAATTCACATCAATAGAGCTCCACGCTCAAATAGAGCTCCACGCTCAAATAGAGCTCCACGCTCAAATAGAGCTCCACGCTCAATAAATGCTCAAGCTACTACTGAATACAAACATGAATACCACTTACCTGGCACTTACCTGTGCGTCCACAGCACCAAATACACATATATAAATGTATGCCACTACTAATGCATGTGATGATGTATTTCATACGTATATCAAATGTATTTCAAATGTAGCTTACCTGGGCCTCCTCAGCACCATGCAACAGTATGCATAATTATGGTAATGCACATATTAAAATATGATGCATATATGACAGGATATTTAATTCGTATTTCTTTTAAAATACGTCAAGCATACGTATATATATATACTGAAAAATAACTGCCCACTCACTGATCACATCGACGTCTCATAGGTCTCTGAGCCTCCCCTAGGTTGGTTACATTCTTCTTCTGTAATATTTTCACCTAAACAAAAAGTAACCAAATTGACGTTATTTAACGCACATACACCAAACATTCGTCCATAACTTTCTCATACGTTACTCAATTTGGGTGTATGAATATACCACGGTGATCTACACGACGTCACGAACGCGTGACAATTTTCAGAACTCAATTTGGAGCTGGCACGCGCCCCCACGCGCCCTGTTCACGCGCTGCCCACGCGCGCGTCTTCTTCCTCGCGTCGCCGGACTGGTTTCGCCGGAAATAGTGTTTTGCCGGAATTTCTGGGTAAATTTCAAACTGTCATAACTTCTTCATTTCTTAACCATTTTCGACGTACTATATATCAAAATGAAGGTATTGACGAGACGAACACATCCATACCTGCCTTGACCCCTAACTCGCCGTGGATTCGCCGGAAAACCCCTCGAAAGCTCCGGCCAACTTTGACCACGATGATCCCGACGTCCAAACTTCTCCAACGAAGTACTCCGAGGTTCCTTAGGACCTCACTAACACATCTACAAGCTTCAAAAGTCCAAAAACTAACTAGATTAATCTTGCATGAACAGTACTCGAATCGGCCAAAGTCGAAACGACGTGAAAACGAATGATTTCTTACCTGAAAATGGTATGGTTGCACTCGTACGAGCTTCACGAGTTCGATGGTGTCCTTAGTTTCTTCGATCCATCAAGGTTTGGGTGATTTGGGTGTCGTCCGTACGTTTTTGAAGAAAGAAGAAGAAAGAACGGAGCTTGGGGGAGAGAGAGAGAGAAATGACAGAAAAGAGACAGAGGGAGAGGAAAACACGGGAGAAAAAGAGAGTGTGTGAGTGTGTGTGGTCCTACAACACTACACAACACAACACTACACGTAAATGTAACGAACTAGGGGTAAAATTTGTAATTTCAAATGTACGTTTCGATATTTCCGGGACGGGATGTCACAACCTACCCTCCTTAATAGAATTTCGTCCCGAAATTCAAAACAACCACATATAACCCCTAGTGATCGAAGAACAATCTAGAATACAAATCCCTCATTCGATCTTCTGTCACCCATGTAGCTTCCTCGACTGAATGATTCCTCCACAAAACTTTCACCAATTACACTGTCTTAATTCTCAATACATTCTTTTTTCCAATCCAAAGTCGTCCTTGGTTCCTCAACCAGTCTAATCCGGATTAATTCTCAATAGTTGCACCGGAAATCCATGTGACGAATCTGCCACCTAGTGACAACACATCGAAATATAATACATTATGCACCTTAACCAATTTCGAAGACATCACCACTTGTATGCAACTTCATCGATTCCTTTAGTGGTCAAAAACGGTCTGATGTGTTTAAGACTTATTTTGTCTCCTTTCCAAATCTCACTATTTCTTTTCATGATGAAATTTCTAAAAATGTTGAATCATGAAACACATCATGCTTTTACAATAACTCTGGAAGTAAATCAAGCAACTTCACCTACTCTTCGATGATCACATAAAGTCCGAGGTACTTAGGACTTAATTTGCTTTCCTTTTCAAGCCGTATCATACTTTCTAAAGTGAAAACTTCAAAATTATAAGATCATCTACGTTAAACACTCGATTAGTGACATGTTCAACTATTAATCTCTTTTGCCATTCCTGGCTACTCTCAGGTTAAACTTAATCACCTGAATAATTTGAGAAGACTCATCCATAGTTTTAGGGCCTACCAAAACTCTTTCGTGATCGAATCTTCTCTATCCAGAAGTATTTCTTCCACAAATCAACAAAAATCGACACATTTCATGGTCCTTATGGCGTTACTTTGGAAACTGTGCAACCAACATACTTAAGAAACTCAGCAGTTCCGTAACCCAAATCTTTTTTCCATAAAACATATAAGTACTGTTGCACTGTGGTTGTTACTCAACACTGGAGTAAATGTACTAACTTGGTACATTGATCAACTATCACTTCAAGTTCAATCATAACCATCCTATCCTCGAACTCAGCAATCTTTCTTTTTCCCTTCTTTCTTTGCCTTGGTCAATTCTTAATTTTCTTCGTTAACCATTTGAGTCTTGAGTACGACCTTACTAAAAAGACTTAACTTGAAAATTAGCAATTACAACTTCTTCTCAAACTTCCATTCTCAACTTTACTTCAGTTGATTTCCAATCCACAAGAAGACAATCTTGGCAAGCGTGCCAGACATCAACTCTTACCACCGTCTTTTCACCAAGTGCATCAGCTAGAACAATTTTACGATCACCCTGGTCGTACAATCATGTTCATTAAACAATTCAATCCACCTTCGGTGCCTCATATCAAAATCCTTCCAAGTAATGGATATTGGAGACTTTTTGGATTCGTAAAAATCTTGCATTCTTACCAAATATAATGTCTTCATAACTTCACAGCAAGAATGGTAATCATGACTTCCAAATCACCAGTAGGGTAATTCATTTCATGAGGTTCCTTTCGTCGTGAAACGTATGTAATCACCCTAACATTTGCATCAACATGCATCCCATACCATTTAAGAAACATCACTAAAATTTATGATTACTACTATTCTCTGGGAATACTAGATTACGTGCATGAGTGAGGAAATACTTCAGTTGTTGAATCCTTTGCTCACAATTTCCTTCCCACTCATACATAACCTCTTTTCTCAACCATCTCGTCAATGACAAAGCAATGACTGAAAAATTTTTTCACGAACCGTCCATGATAGCTTGTTAAGCTAGGATAACTCCGAATCCCAATCACGATTCGTGGTTGTTCTAAATTCTCAATTTCTGCTACCTTTTAAGAATTCACTTGAGTACCTGAAGCAGATATAATATATCTTCAAAAATGCTACTTGATTCATCCAACATTGGCATTTGCTAAACTTAGCATATAATCGACGTTCCCTCGATCTTTGCAATACCAATTTAAGATGTTTAGCATACTTTGCTCTAGTCTTATCAATCTTTTCAATAGCAACAATAACAAATCGGTCTAGATATCATTGGAATACTTTATTCATCAAATTCATAAAGTAGTAGATGCATTCGTCACTCTGAATGGCATCACCAAAACTTGAAATGACCTTAACGAGTCCTGAAAGTTATCATACGGGCATCCTCACCGATAATCTTCAACTAATAATATCCAGACCTCAAGTCAAACTTAGAAAATACACAAATACTTCTGAGCTGATTCATTAAACATCAGTACACCATCATGGATCACGGTTCTCAATCGTTACCCGATTCCATGGTCTATAATCAATGGATAGTCTTTAAAGTCCATTTTCTTTCTCACCAATAAACTGGGGTTCCCCCAACGTAATGTACTAGGTTGAATAAAAACCTTTATCAACCAATTTCCAATTCTCTTAGTTCAAAAGGCAACATTCTACAATATATGGTTTGTACCTGGAGACAAATCCATAGTGAACTCTACATCTTTAACTGGTAGCCATCCAGGTAAATTCTCAGGGAAAACGTCAGGTAAATGTTTGACTACTCCCACTTCTTCCACACTACTAGGAGTGACATCACTTAGCACCACATGATATAAATATCCTTGGCAGCCTTTTGATAATAATCTATTTGCTCTCACAGCATAATTAACGGTCTGCCTCTCTTCACTTTGCATACTTACAAAAGTAATCTCTAGTCATCCAAACCGATGGAAAATAACATATAATCCATTCAACATTCGGCTATAAACATAGCTCATACTCTTTCATTCTAATCAACTCAGCCCTCGGCTGCATATATGGCTCATAACCAACTCATCATATTATGTATATAACATAATATGCTCTAGAATAACCTTGAGATCTACAATCTAATGGAACAAAAGTAGCTAACAACAATACATACTCTACTAATACCGAGCATTCTGAATAAGTACGATACTAACATAGGATAACCTACCGGTTTACTTGCTTAACGAATCCACGAATAAGTTATTAATATTACGGTCTGCAGCCCGCAATACTGATAAATCATCGTTGTCTCGATAAGTAAGCAACAACTCTCGAGGGTGTAATATTACTATTTTGCCACTCATTAGGAAATACATACACACGTCTCAACCGCGTTTAAATACTACTTTCTAGGCAATAACAATAATAACGTAAAATTTCTACATTATTAACAAATAGACTCTAGCTAAGTCATTAAGAATAATTATCGTACCCCTAATCAAAACCAAATAATTCTGAGTATCTTGCAGTGATGTGTAGTTAACACATCCCTGGGCTTGTTGTTGTCTCCCACAACCTCTATTAGTGTAAATACTTCTTTCATGTACACCACGACCTAACTGACCATAATTAATAGATCCAGGAACTTGCTGGATCGGCGCCAGTTGTGGCAAAGAAGACTGCTAGGGCTTCTGTTGGCTTTGGACATAATTTGCAGTTCTATGTCCCATCTATCCACTTGTAAAGCGTCCACTGCTTTCTCGCCTACATTCTCAAAGGTGTCCATTATTGTACCTACAGCCCAAAGGTACATTTCTTTTACTAAAATCACCTTGTCTCTGAGATCTGGGATTATCAATACATCTATCACTTCGCTTCTGGTCAATGGCATTAAAACCTTTGCCAAAAGAACTAGAATTAGCTTCACTTCTTTTGAAGTTCCGAATCTTTCTATATTCTTGATATGACGAATCATTAACTTTATCGTCCTCTTTTGATTCCCATTCCTTTATCATTCTTCTTTACACTCGCTGAACATAATCTCAGAGTCCTTAAGGCTCAACAACATCTTGTATACTCCTGGTAAGAATTACAATGGATAGTGGTCACCCAAAGTACCACTGCCTTATGCCACCCAGCCTAAAACAATATAACACTTCAATCAAAATAGCAGCAATATTCAAATGGGACGAGACAAGTCTGAGAACTTTCTATAATACTCATTGATCGTCAGCTTTCCTTGTCTCACATTTGCAAACTCTTGCTTTCTACCATCGTAAGATGCCAAAGGAAATAATTCTTTTCTTTAAACAAGTCCTTAAACAATTCTCAATCGGCTGTTTCCTTCGGTGACAACGAATTATACTCCTGTTTCCACCAGGATACAAGTTCATAACTCAAACCAGGTAGTCGTCTCAACCCTTCTGTCAAAAGGAAGATTCCTTTGACTTGCATAATCTAAAACATCTTTTCCAATTGGTTAATCCATCACTTTGCTCCCTCAGGTTCATCATTTCATAAGGTGATTCAAATTCAACTCATAACCCATCTTAAAATATCCCTTTAGATAATATACTGAATCACCAAAATAATAGTTTCACCTAACAGCTAAATCAGGGAGACTAAGTTCCTCTAACTACGTGGTTTGCTACGAGGCGGTGTAGTTCTGACAGAATTCACTAGAACTTATCAAGATGTCCAAGATTGAAACTTAGGCTCTGATACCAACTTGACACACCCCGTCCCGAAGGAGGGCATGCTGGCCGTCACGTGAGAGTGACGTAACCATTTACACAGTACGGAAGCTTTAAAGATACAATTTCTAAGATGAAACACCCAAAGGTGAGACCTAATTTTTGGCCATTCTGTCAGAACACCGTTGAATTTCCTCGTAGTCACCACACCTTTTCAATTCTTGAACCTGGAGGGGCGCAAAGCAAAGTTGAGTGGGTCAGCAAAACAAACTTATTCAAAACCTTCTTTTCTCTTTGAATATACTAACCCCTCGCCGTAAAACAAATATAGTTTCCCAGAAAATAAACATATATACGTATGTATAAATATGCCAATCATGCTCTTATAGTATGCCATTCATGCTCAAGAATATGCCATTCATGTTCTATAATATGCCATTTATGCTCGAGAATATGCCACAACAGAATCTCATAATCAAATATAAATGCTCAAGCGTAATTCACATCAATAGAGCTCCACGCTCAAATAGAGCTCCACGCTCAATAAATGCTCAAGCATAATTCACATCAATAGAGCTCCACGCTCAAATAGAGCTCCACGCTCAAATAGAGCTCCACGCTCAATAAATGCTCAAGCATAATTCACATCAATAGAGCTCCACGCTCAAATAGAGCTCCACGCTCAAATAGAGCTCCACGCTCAATAAATGCTCAAGCATAATTCACATCAATAGAGCTCCACGCTCAAATAGAGCTCCACGCTCAAATAGAGCTCCACGCTCAAATAGAGCTCCACGCTCAATAAATGCTCAAGCTACTACTGAATACAAACATGAATACCACTTACCTGGCACTTACCTGTGCGTCCACAGCACCAAATACACATATATAAATGTATGCCACTACTAATGCATGTGATGATGTATTTCATACGTATATCAAATGTATTTCAAATGTAGCTTACCTGGGCCTCCTCAGCACCATGCAACAGTATGCATAATTATGGTAATGCACATATTAAAATATGATGCATATATGACAGGATATTTAATTCGTATTTCTTTTAAAATACGTCAAGCATACGTATATATATATACTGAAAAATAACTGCCCACTCACTGATCACATCGACGTCTCATAGGTCTCTGAGCCTCCCCTAGGTTGGTTACATTCTTCTTCTGTAATATTTTCACCTAAACAAAAAGTAACCAAATTGACGTTATTTAACGCACATACACCAAACATTCGTCCATAACTTTCTCATACGTTACTCAATTTGGGTGTATGAATATACCACGGTGATCTACACGACGTCACGAACGCGTGACAATTTTCAGAACTCAATTTGGAGCTGGCACGCGCCCCCACGCGCCCTGTTCACGCGCTGCCCACGCGCGCGTCTTCTTCCTCGCGTCGCCGGACTGGTTTCGCCGGAAATAGTGTTTTGCCGGAATTTCTGGGTAAATTTCAAACTGTCATAACTTCTTCATTTCTTAACCATTTTCGACGTACTATATATCAAAATGAAGGTATTGACGAGACGAACACATCCATACCTGCCTTGACCCCTAACTCGCCGTGGTTTCGCCGGAAAACCCCTCGAAAGCTCCGGCCAACTTTGACCACGATGATCCCGACGTCCAAACTTCTCCAACGAAGTACTCCGAGGTTCCTTAGGACCTCACTAACACATCTACAAGCTTCAAAAGTCCAAAAACTAACTAGATTAATCTTGCATGAACAGTACTCGAATCGGCCAAAGTCGAAACGATGTGAAAACGAATGATTTCTTACCTGAAAATGGTATGGTTGCACTCGTACGAGCTTCACGAGTTCGATGGTGTCCTTAGTTTCTTCGATCCATCAAGGTTTGGGTGATTTGGGTGTCGTCCGTACGTTTTTGAAGAAAGAAGAAGAAAGAACGGAGCTTGGGGGAGAGAGAGAGAGAAATGACAGAAAAGAGACAGAGGGAGAGGAAAACACGGGAGAAAAAGAGAGTGTGTGAGTGTGTGTGGTCCTACAACACTACACAACACAACACTACACGTAAATGTAACGAACTAGGGGTAAAATTTGTAATTTCAAATGTACGTTTCGATATTTCCGGGACGGGATGTCACAATAGTACATTCATCATACATTTCCGTATTTTAATTTTTTAAGTCCTTGTATCATTCTAATAATTGAAATAATAGTTTACGGACGATATTTTTAACTGTTACCAATGAAGGTAATATAATATTTGCTAAGTATTCTTAGGCTATAAAAATTGTTTAGAAGACAATATTCTTGGGTTATTTAACCCATAATGTAAAGTATTAACATAATATATAATGAGCTACATTATATTATAATTAACTACAGAATAGTCAATAACATTGATCTAAGTTTTGTCCAATAGAGAACGTGATTTGTGTTAATTTTACATATATAAAATAAACAGGTAAATAGTTAACCGTTTATAATCGAAGTTAATACCCATAACCACCTAGTTAAATTTCACGGATAAACGATTATATTTATAATTGTTCATTTATTTAAACGATTATTTATAACCGTAACTGTAAAATTTAAATGATCAAGTAGCTGGGATTACCCATAACCGCTAGTATTTTTCTCATCTCTAATGCTGCCTACTCTACTATGTAATTGGATGTTAAGTTAGGCAAACGAAAATGGTTAGAAAAATGAATGGATGATATTTCCTTAGTGATAACTGAAAATGAATGACTAAAAAATTTGTGATATTATTGGCACTACCACATAAACCATTAATGTTTATTTAAGCTTATTTAATGGACACCAAGTAAAGTGCCAACCGGATCGTGTTTGAGTCATCTATTTATATTACATATCATCTAATTACATCACGTGCCGATTCATGAGTTGATGAACATCAAAAATTGAATTAGAGTTACCATATAATAATACAATAACTCATATTTTTTATTGCGATGGTGAAAGTTTTCATATTACCTTTCTACACGTGCAAGCTCTTGCTCTCGCACTCTTGCACGTAAATATCCCCTTTCACATTTGTACATGCAGAAAATATTTTTATAAATAGACGCCTATGGACGATTTTACAAAATTTGAATTTTAGTTTTTACATTTGTACATTTATCTCTTATAATATAGGAAAAATCTCATATTTTCAAAGGAGAGACAAACTTTTAAATAAAAGATACAAATCTAGATTCTATTGCAGAATTACTGAAAATCTGATTGTGTATTTGAAGAGATATAAACACATAGTTTTAAAAGACGTTAAGAGTTAGAAAGGTGATGGGTTGGTGTCACCTAGACGAATTTAAATATATTTATTATAATATTGTACAAATGATATTATCTTCACTAAAGGGGAGTGGGCTAAGCCTCAGAATGAGCCAGCAATAATATAGTTCAAATTCGTCTTTTGGCAAGAATCGAACTTAAGTCTCCTCACTTACAAGTGAAAATGAATACTACTAAATCATAGTACTAAATGGCAACACGTGTTACCAGTTTTATTTCTTCTATTTTTTTTTCCAATTTATGGTTTTACTATGTTAGTCCTAACTATTTTAGTTTGTTCATTTTTCAATTGCCTGTAAATAAAGGGCGTTTTTGAAATTTTCAGAAAATTAATAACATAGGCAATATTATGGTCCGACTTAAAAAAATCTCGGTTAAAATGCATGGGATTTAGCTTATTTATTATTATTATTATTATTATTTTGAATTTTAGCTTATTTATTTGGTATTATATGTCGTTGTCTATCTCACCCACTTATTTTATGGCATCGTCACGGGTTGGTGCATGGTAAGAGCACCACACAACCTACAATATTTTGGCCGGCAGGGCAAGATGGGTTCACCATTTACTGTTGGCCAACAGTTATGTGGTGGTGGTGGTCGGCAGTGTTAAAGAAGAGAAACAAATGGGCGGATCCACTTGCTGGTGTATCATGCATGTGTGGCACGTGATTTAAGGGCGAACTTTTTTTCTCTTCACTTTTTGGAGGAGAGGAGGAAAATGCACGATTTGATTGACGGAGAACGAGTATCATAAAAAAAAAAAAAAAAAAAAAAAAAAAAAAAAAAAAAAAGAGAATGAACAATAATCGAAATATAGGATGAGCCAATTTAATTAATTTATACACATGTACATGTGCTTCTGTTCTTCTTTCTCCTTTGTTCTTCTCTTCTCTCTCTCCATTGTTCCTAATTGTGTGTGTGAGCGATTGAATAAAAAGAAATTACGTTTCCTATTAGGTTTTAAGTCAAGTAAGCCAATTCTAATAAGCCTCCAAAGAAAAAGTAAAGTTTACGCACTCACTTAATGATAGACACTTCCACAAATCGGTAAACCTTTTCACTTTATCAATTGCCATGTGGCATATCATATCAGAAATCTCTTTGCTTGAAAAGTGCAAACGTTGATTATGCCCCGTGAGAGATATGATAACTAAATTTGGTACAAGTAAGAGGATCATAGCCATGCAAATATGTGATGTAATAAATAGGTTTGATATATGTAACATTACTACTTTATGAGATGGTTAAAAACTTTGAAGGTTATCTAATCTAAAATACTTATTAATAAAAAAAATTTTGTCAACCAAAAGATGGTGAAAAGACAATCTGGTCTTATATCACAACTAAAATAATAGGCAATAATCACTGTTCTAAAAATCTCTGCCTAAGTCCCGCTTAGGCGCTAGGTGGTTGGCCACCGTCCCAATTAATACCTAGACGTTTGAAAATTAAGAAAATGCGCCTAGATCTGCTAAGGCGCCCACCTAGAATACCTAGGCACTTGCCTAGCCCGTCCAGACCTGCCTAGGCACCTACCTAGGTCAGGCTCACTTAGACAGAAAAAGATAACTTTCATTTTGCATTTTATTTACTTTTTCAATAAATTGTAAGAGACTTGTTGCATACTTAAATGAACACACATTACATCCTTGTTCCCTATGTTTTTATTATGTTCCAATACTTCATCATATATATGTCATTCTATTTTGAAGTTTATGATGAAATTATATATATTTTAAGTATAAGTAGACACTTATTTACATGAAATATATTAGATTTACTTAAATCTGCCTAGTCCGCCTAGACTCCGCCTAGTAGCTTAGGTACTAGGCCCCAATCCACAGCCTGACTAGCGTCTAGTGTCTTTTAGAACCTTGGCAGTAATGTAATTTCACACAAATCAAATTTTTTTGTTTTTTTCTTCCGTCACCCATATGTTAGCATATATCTAATTTAAAAAAATATAATCATAAATTTCTCTCCATTCCCACGTTCTCTCTCTCTCTCACACACACACACACACACACACACACACACACCCACACACAAAGTGTCTGTGAAACTTTTTATTTTGTTTTTAAAATTGAAGGAGAGAGAAAGAAGTGAGAGAGAATGTGGGAGTGTGATGTATGGCGTAGTAGACAAAAACGAATTAAAATGATAGATATAATGGATAAGTAGGGTCCACTATCTTATAGTGCAAGGAGAGACTTGAGAACCCTATAAACTTTAGTTCTAGTACCAGCCTACGACGTAGACACTAGAAACAAAAGCTGAACAATCTCACAAAGAGAAAGGCACAAAACTGAAACAGGGAAACACTCTGAGTATTTTCATTAATTAAAAAAGTCCAGCTCCCCCATTTTACAGAAAGATGTGGTATTTATAACCATTTTGTAACATACATTCAGAAAAAAAAGGCAATAAACTTAAAATGACAAAAAAACTGAAAATTACATAAAGAAAGTAATCCAATCAGCCAAAAAAGGTCCAAAACGCCCTGTCTATTATTAGGAGCTACTAATGGTTGTTATTAAGTTCTTCTGATTGGTTATAGTCATTCATTTTATCCCAATGATTCAATAAATGTAATGGCCAACCGATCTGCATCATCCTCTCCGGGTTAGAGAAAATTCACCCTCGAATTTGCATTTCTAGTATCGTCAATGTCCCCTTTGTATGGAATGAGATGTACGTATCGTCAATGTCCCCTTTGCATTTCTAGTATCGTCAATGTCCCCTTTTTATCGAGATCCTTTGTTAAGACCCTATTCTCATTGATGTACGTATCTATTTCTTATTAATGAATATGGTACCATTTAAATAAAAAATAAAAATAAAAATAAACACCAATCACGATACGTATCTAATCCAGTTTTCTATATAGCCGTATAGGTCAATCGGAGTTTCTGATAGGTAAAACCACAAATCAAATATTATTTATTGCGAATGAAAAGGGCCACCATACGAGTATTTATCCGAGTGATGACCGTTGCATAAAGAAATATGCAGAGGATGATATGGGTTG